TTTGGATTATGATAAGGATGTGTCCAGGGAACTGTTGTAGCTTCAGGCTCAACCTGGAGTGATTTTTATCATCACACTTGGTTCACGGAATCCAGAATACCACCCTCCACTCGTGCTCAAACATCTTCTTGCTCATCGTCTTCATTCTCCAGCCTCATCCAGTCAGTCCCACGTTACCTTAGTTCTAGATAATGTCTCATACATTTCTAACTGTAGTAGAATTCAAATGACCAAAAGTATTATTTTTACTTCCGACATCTCTGCTTTCCAACTTATTTTTAACACCACAATTAATAAAGCAGTTTAAAGATGTAGTGTAGCAATTTGCTCATCGGCTCACCTTTTCTCCATTGAGTCTCCAGATAATTTTCTTCATGTTACCCTTCATGTCACGAGTGCATCTTTCACCAGCAGCCAACGCCCCTTGTTTCTGGATGGCCATTCCTGCCCCAGAACCCCTTCTTTCTCCGGAGCACTGTGCGGGTTTCTCTCTCAAGCACTCAGAGTGGCTTTGATTCTTATCACCTCATTCTTGAATCACCTGACCTCTTTTCCAGCTGAAGGATTTGCTGGACAGATACACTCGTCTTACTGTTCTTCTGAGATAGTTCAGAGCCCACTGGTTAGATTAGTATCCCCTGATCACAATACCCTGTCAGAATTAGGGGGACGTGTGTTAACGGTGCTCAGGTTATTTTTATGGGTATTCTTGAGATTGCTAAAATTCTATAATATCTTGCTGTCTCAATCAGTCACTCTGTTGGGTTACACTTATATGAATTCTGAGATGCAGGACTTAGCAACTCAAATTTTAGGAAGTCTAAGAATTCTACATTTTCCTGTTGAGGTTTTAGGAAGCATTTACTATATGATTAGACATCCCTAGGCAAAACCCCCCTCTGGAAATGTTTTGGGGACTACATTAGTTTTGCTGCCATAAGCAAAATTCCACAGATCAGATTACTTAAAAAATAGAAGCCTGTTTTTTCACAGTTCTTGAGGCTGGAAGTCCCAGATGAAGGCAGATTTGGTTTTTCTGAGACCCCTCTCTGGTTTACAGGTGGCCACCTTCTTGCTGTGTCCTCATGTGGCGCTTCCTCTATGCATGCACCCCTGGTGTCTTTGTGTGTGTCTGAAGTTCCTCTTCCTATAAGGATACCAGTTAGATTGGATTAGGGCCTACCCTAATGGCCTCATTTTAACTTAAAACCTCTTTAAAGGCCTTATCTCCACATATAGTCACATTCTGAGATATGGGAGTTAGGGCTTCAGCATATGAATGAAGGGACACAACAATTTTTTATTGCCCCAAAGTCTGGGAGTGTGCTCCTGGCATCATGGCCAAGGGCCATCATGCTAAGTGCTCACTGTGTTGGAGGTAGACTGACACAAAGAAAAATTGTTTAAAATGCCAGGAGCAACCCCTGTGAGAAACTCATATTAGTCCTTACTGCTTCCTTTCATATGTCACATTTAAGTCAGACATTCAGAAAATTGGCCCAACCATTGTATAAAATGTCTGAATTTTTTTTTTTAATGTTTTTATCATAGATGCTGCCTCCGTGGACTTGGAAACAGTTGATGTTCAAGTTTTAGCAGACGCTTTCAAACGCTATCTTTCGGACCTACCGAATCCTGTCATTCCAGTAGCTGTTTACAATGAAATGATTTCTTTAGCCCAAGGTTTGTTTTCTCTTGGAGAACTTCATTGAACATGTATTGAGATGTGGGTATGCTTGTATAGTCTGCATATGAAGAGGTGATTTTTTTAAGAAAATATTAGTAGGAATCTTTCCTCCTCCTCCTCCTTTCCCCCTTGACCCTACATCACCACCCTACCCCCACTCCCATTAGTACCACTTCCCTCCATTAACATGCAACAGAAGACCCAGCTCCTCGTTTGCTTAGAGAAACGGTCCACATGTTGAAGTGGCTAATTGTTTACCTTTATCAGTATTAACAGAGTTCATTACATCAGTGAAGGCCACCGTGTTTCAGGTACCATCACTGGGTCCAGGGAACCGGGACTAGGCCCCAGTGGCTGGGGATGTTCTTACCATTGTCTTCAAGTGGCCATTACAAAAGTGTCGAGGGAAGAGGACTCAGTTTTAGGAGCTAATGCTCAGTTAAAGTGCTTTGGGGACAGGAAATTGTGGTTTGTAACCTTCAAAGTTAAAACCTGTGATACTTATCTGATGCTCCTCCAAATTAGCCAATCACACTTGCAGCTGCTCAATAGAGGGCAGATTTCTGCCAGCACACCCTGAACCTTTTGTGGTTTTTTTCTTTACACCAAAAACTTCTTACATTTCCATTTGACTTGAGATTTCTACTTTCTCACAATGTCTTTTCTAATGAGAAGGACAAATGGACTGTCTGCTGCTTCTGATGACTCTGTTTTAAGTGGCTCCTTCTTCCATAGCCAGAAAGACAGGAATTTTTTAGGTGCTTATTCACTGGTACCTAGAAATATCTTTTATTCTTTTCTCATTTCCTTTTGTTGTTGTTGTTTTTAACTTGTAGAAGTACAAAGTTCCGAAGACTATATCCAGCTGTTGAAGAAGCTCATTCGGTCACCTAACATACCTCATCAGTATTGGCTTACGCTTCAGTATTTGCTCAAACATTTCTTCAAGCTCTCCCAAAGCTCCAGCAAGAACCTCTTGACTGCAGGAGTGCTTTCGGAACTTTTCAGCCCTCTGCTTTTCAGATTCCCTGCAGCCAGGTGAGTGAAAGAAGAGAAACATGCGTTTGGGGATGATGAGGGTAGTCCTAGGTTGATTCGCCTTCACACTTACTCTAAAGATATTAGTTCCCAGACCTATGGGCACACTTACATTGGAATGTGTATAAATGAAGATGAGTCTGTTGTGTAGGGAGAAGGTTTCTAATGGAACTCTCTTTTTTTCTGTAGCTCTGAGAATGCTGAACCCCTCCGAAAAGTTATAGAAATTTTAATCTCAACGGAATGGAGCGAGCGACAGCCAGCACCAGGTAGTGCCCTTTGAACTTTCCAATTTCACTCACTGTTTGGTTTTTAGAGCCTGATAAATGGTGGCTTTAGACTTCATCTGAAATAGCCTAAGTTTCTGTGATAACATGTTCTTGTGATTAAAGAACCACTAGCTGAATGGTAGTGTGTATGGTGTCATCCGTATTTCAGTGTGTGTGGGTTTGAAATGATCTTGGTTTTCGATGAGCTTGTTGGGAGAGCTCTCTGTTCCCCTCAACTTCTATGCTTCTAGTTTTGCGTAAATTATGGAGCTCATTTTAGTTGTTGACGTTTTAGTTTATCTTTCTAATATTGAGAAAGTAGGGGATTTATAATTACTATATAATTTAAAGTATTTGGGAATGTGTTTCTTGGAAGCAGGTATGCTGAGAAATGTCTTTCAAAATAAACATTTTCAGGAACGCAAGCAGCATGAAACCAGGGAGTTCACTGCAGCACGTTAGAGCAAGCCAGGCCCTTCTTTGAAAGCAGGCTGGCGTTCAGTTAGCCATTTAACAAAGCAGGAAATGTAGACCGTGTTAGCAGTGGGTTTAATTTAAACTGATGTATTTTTCTTCTACTGTGGAAAGTCTAAGCAACCTTACTTTGCTCTATATGCTGGTTAAAGGCTGTCCATTTAAAATAGTGAGTAAGGTTTATCGCTTCTCGGCCTTTTGGCTAAGATCAAGTGTAGTATCTGTTCTTATCAGTTTAAAATAGTGAGTAAGGTCTTATAAGTGAAGTTTCAGGACCAGTAAAAGGTGTTGCTTCTATTCTTAATTTATGCTTAGGATTTAAATAAAACCTCAGAGGTAGCTCCTGAGAGTTCCCAGATTTACCTCTGTGTGGGCAGCCATGGGAACCCAGGGTCACTGTCAGGCAGTGTAGATTGAAGCTGTGCCCTTCTAGGTGTTCCATGGCCAGGGTTGGTTATTTCCACTTGGGTGGAGCAGACTGAGAGAGGCGAGGGCCTGTGCTTACAACCCGCCTGTAGGGGTGGGGTAACGCCAGGTGGGTATTGGGCAGGGCTCCTGTGGACAGGCCCAAAATATGGTCTCCAGAGGTGAGAAGAGGCAGCAGAAGTGATACTTAAGGCAGGTGTGGTGTGTTCCAGATCACAGCAAGCAGGATGTCCCACAGGGGGGCCTCGCATTATAGGGAAACTGCAGAGACGGCTGTCGACAAGGATGGCCACGGACTAAAGTCCAGGTGGTGGTCCACAGATTTCATCTCCTGGCATGCGTGGGTCATTTGTTAGTGGGTCTTGGAGCTCTGTGTCGA